TAGTAAAGTGTCACTGTACACATGGTGACAATGTAAAAAAAATAAACAATGAAAAAAAGATATTTAAAAAATGAATAGAAAATTATTAAAATTTTATTACATACTGTCACCAGCAGGGCTTTGTTTTTATCAGGAATTAGGTGCAGGAACTCAACCACGACACCCCCCCCCCCCCCCCCCCCCAACACACACACATCATCCATAAAATAGTGGGTGTGGTCAAATTTCACTAACAGTGGGAGGGTCTTAAAGAGTCATTAAATACCAGGAGTGCATGAGGTACAGAATGCAGAGTTTGGAGGGTTACACACAGAGTGCAGAGTTCAGGGTTGCACTGTAAACACAGTGCAGAGTTCAGGGGTGTGCTACATACAGAGTGCAAAGTTCAGGGTTGCACTGCAAACACAGTGCAGAGTTCAGGGGTGTGCTACATACAGAGCGCAGAGTTCAGTGGTTATTAAATACACCAAAAGAAAGCTCTATTTGTGTGAAAAAATGTTATATATTTCATTTGAGTACAGTGTTGCATTACAGAGCAATTGCCAGTCAAAGTAGCATAGTGCTGAATAGCAACAAAATGCCCTGGTCATGAGTCAAACCTTCCGGAGGTCAAGTGCTTAAAGATATTTCAGCTAGCTAGGAAGAGAAACGAACTTTCAGTTCTAGAGACAATGGTGACCAGGAGAAATAAGGTGAATCTCCCATGCGAAAATGCAGAAAAAGAAAAAACCTTGACAGAGTTTCTAACTGTACCCAGCATCCTAATCACATGTAATTTGATGCATTCTCATACATTGATATTTTAGCTGCTTCTCAGCCATTGGATACTTATGCTGTTTAGCTCTCTGTAATGTGATGTCAGCCTGTCCTAGCATTGCTGAGTTGTCACACATCATGATTAAATCTAAGTCAAATTAACAAAATCAAATCTAGGTGAGTTTAACGGTTATTGTAATTTAAAATGTTTTCAATTGGTTTTAAATATGCAGATTTCATTTAACCCCTTGCCCTCCAGAGGAATCCCCCCCCCCCCCCCTTCCTGACCAGGCCATTTTTTTGCGATATGGCTCTTCGTTAATTTAACTGGCAATTGTGTGGTCATGCAACGCTGTACATAAATGAGATTTATGTCCTTTTTTCCCACAAATAGAGCTATCTTTCAGTGGTATTTGATCACCTCTGCATTTTTATTTTTTGCGCTATAAACAAAAAAAAGACCAAAAATTTTGAAAAAAAAAAAAAACAAGATTTTTGACTTTTTGCTATAAAACATATCCAATAAAAAAATTTAAAAATCAAATTTCGTCATGTTTAAGCCAAAATGTGTTTTGCTACATGTCTTTGCTAAAACAAAATTGTGTAAAATTAATTGGCTTAGGTGAAAGGTGTAGCATCTACAAATGGCATTATATATACTGAATTTTTTTTTTATATTAGTAATGGAGGCGATCAGCGACTTATAGAGGGACTACGGGACAGTGGTAGGCATTCTGACACTGGGGGGAACTGGCTAACTGCCACTGAGATCCCCAGTGACACTAACACAGTGATCAGTGCTAACAAAAAGCACTGACACTGTACTAATGGCACTGGGCAGGAAAATGTTAACATCTGGAGCAATCAAAAAGGTTAACTGTGTGCTGTGTGTGTTTTACTGTGTGCTGTGTTTTACTAGGGAGACATGCTGTACAGAGAGATACAAAGCAGCATGTCCATACAGGTTTCCATACAGGTCTCTCCCGTCAGCTTTCCCCGACGATCACCGAGTGCTGGCCAGAAATCGCAAGCAGGGACCTAGTGATTGACATCCCTAGCTGCCAATAGCGGCGCGGGTAGGGTGGCGCAAGCGCGCCCCCTACCCAGAAATGTATATTGTGTATATATACACATGATTTTGTGCAGCCCTGCTATCCTGTAGCAATTCTTCTTCAATAGGGTGGCGGGTAAGCGGTTAAGGAATACCTAGTGAACCTGCCATGAAGAAAATTGTTCATGCATTGTTACTGGGGGGGGTGACAACTATCTCCTACTTGTGTTTTCTATGGTATCACCCTTTCAACTGTGGACCTAGTGAGCTACACGTGGTGCAGGCCTGGTCCACCGTTGTCACTATACGGAAGCTGGTTTAGAGCAATAATGTGCAGCTAATGTTGGAGAGAGGGTTTGTGGGCCAGTTCACACCATAGAAATTAAGGATGAGTTTCTGCATGTATGTTTTTTATGCATTTCAGTGCGTTTTTCATGTGTTCTGGTGCATTTTTCCCCTTTTTTCCTTCACCTTAAATAAGGACGTGTTCCGGTGTGTTTTACCACGTTCCAGTATAGTTCAGTGCAGAAAAAATGCAGCATGTTTTCTTTTTTCTTCTGGAACTGGAACACACTGGAACTGACTGCACTGGTGTGAAATAAGCCATTGGACACCATATAACCTACTATTAATTTTTTGATGCAGAGAAAAAAAAACGCACTGCATTGAACATGGTGTGAACTTCCAGCTGGCTTCTTCAGCTGTGCCGAATATCTTTTATCCTGGCTGTGGTTCCTCACCAGCTCTTATTCTTATGTTTACCCTCCAGTTTAACCCCCACGGTAGGTCAATGGGTCAGGGCAGTAAATTACATCATGATTATGGAGGGTCTCATGCTATCCTTGACATAGCAGGGAGCATGTATTCCTAAGATATGGTTCCAGTTCTCTGATACCCAAAAGGAGATTCTGTCTACTTATCCCCCTCAGGCAGGTGCGGATCTGAACCCCTCCATCCTCCCCCAGAGCAGTTACTATTTGGTAAAGGGAGAGACTGTAAAAATCCAGGGCACTTTGCTCTTGTCTGTACTTGTACAAGAAAAAGCTCCTCAGAGCACTGGCAGTCTGTCATACTGCTGCTGTTTCCTCCTCCCTCCTCCCTCCAGGCTGCTCAGAGGAACATCTCTTCTCCACCTAAAGTAAAACCTGCCTGCTAATGTGTGGCATGGCTGGATCTAGGAGGTACTGGGGTACTGCCCCCCCCCCCCCCCAGGCAACTCCCCCTCTTCCATGGATGTTGTGCCAATGGTCCATCAGGAGGAAGCTGTCCATAAACTTTGGGGCAGGCTGGCTGCAGCTGTGAAGTCTAAGTGTCTGACACTCTCACACAGCCCGGCCAGCACACTCCCCCACCCCTTGCATGGACGGGAGAGGAGAGTGAAAGATCTATCTGTTCCACATCCTCCTGCCACTATCTCTCTGTGTCTGCCCCACCACACTGCTATCCTCCATGTGCAGCCTGTGCCTGAGAAAGGAGATGTGTGGGCTAGTGATTGGAAGTACAGCAGCCGGCAGATCCATAGTGGCTGCAAGACTGATGCTTCTGCCTGAGCCTACAGATACCAGCCTGGGTTGAGTGAGCAGTTCACTGAACTCTCCCCATTTCTTTCCCCAATCCATATCCCCTAAAGAGGGCCTGTAAGGGGGCCCTCTGCTGGATTCTGATATAAGGTGGCACACTCTGCCGGGTTTCTGATGTAAGGGGGCACGCTGTTGGGTTCTGATGTAAGGGGGCACGCTGTTGGGTTCTGATGTAAGGGGGCACTCTATCAGATTCTGATGTAAAGGGGAGCATTGCTGTAAGGTGGGACTCTGCAGACTCTGATGTAAGGTGGTGGAACTCTGGGGACACTGATGTAAGGTGGGACTTTGGATAAACAGATGTAAGGGGGGGAAAGCTAGGGACTTTGATGTAATGAAGGACTCTAATGGGAATGTGGTACTCATCCTGACTGCTGCGCTCCATATGTTCTTTTGTTTTTTACTTACTCCTGACTCCTGCACTCTATACATTATGCTGGACATAGACATGACCAAGATGTTTATAGTCTCAACAGTTGCTGGTTTTAATGAAGTTCTTCTTTGAAGTAGGTTCAGTAAGGCAGCCCATACATTAGTCATTTTTTTTCATTCAACCAGTAGATTGATATAAAAATGAGCCGATTCCATCAACATCAAGGTGCTGATCAATGTTTCCTGAGAGTGGAGGAATCTGGCTGTGAGCTGGCCATAGATGAGTCAATGGTTGGGAAAAAAAAAGACTAGATTTGCGTGTGTGTGCACGGATGGTGGAATCCTCTCTGTTGAGCCTTTGTATTCGGAAAGCAGAGAGGCTCCCCCGCCATCATAATACAGAATACACTAATCAGTGCTGCTGGTTATAGCCTGCGGCACTGATCAAGCAGAGAAAATCTGACAGGGCGGTTGTACACATTCAATCACCCTGCACATACAAAAATCAAAATATGGCCGGTCCCTGATGAATTTCTATACATGTATGGCAGGCTTTAGAGTACAATAACAGAGTGGGAAGGATTTCTCTATCCACCTTGCTTTGTTGATGGGGATCTGTGTGGTTTTTTTTGATCAGCCCACTGGCTGATCAAAAAAAAAAAAAAAAAAAAAATGGTCCATGTATGGCCAACCTTACACTTGCACTCAATATATGCTATGTGTTCCATATGTCTGATTAAAGTTTTTTTTTCTCAACAGCTGCCCATTGCTATGTAGTTTACAACTGTTTTAATGATGTTCATATTCATGCTAGGCTCAGACAAAGTGTTAGCTCTTCTCTTTATTCTGTTTATGCATCTGTATGGGGCAGCACAGTGGCTAAATGGTTAGCACTTCTGCCTGGCAGTACTAGGGTCATTAGTTTGAATCCCACCCACAGCACCTCCTGCCTGGAGTTTGCATGTTCTCCCTGTGCCTGCATGGGTTTCCCCCAGGTACTCCTATTTCCTCCCACACTCCAAAGACATGCTGGTAGGTTAATTGGCTCCTGTCTGAATTGTCCCTAGTATATGTATGTATGAATGTAAGTTAGGGACTTTAGATTGTACACCCCTTGAGGGTTAGGGACTGATGTGATTGTACAATATATATGTAAAGTGCTGCATAAATTGACAGCGCTATATAAGTACCTGTAATAAATAATAATCTGTGCGTTTAAATTGCATGGTGAATGGGTCACATTTGATAGGCACCAGGGGCGGACTGACCATTTGGAAACTCACTGCCCGAGGGCCTGGGGTCAGGAGAGGGCCCCATGAGATGCCCCTGGTACCTTTTTCATAGGCTTTTTTGAGTTTGGGCAAGGACACAGGGGTCCCATGATCCCCTATTGCCCAGGGGCCCCATGAGTTGTCAGTCCGCCCCTGATAGGCACTACTACCTACTGAGTGCAACAGCCTGTATAAGGTTTGCTCTGTCTGCTGCCTTTGCAGCGTAAGGAAGGGGGTGGTAAAAATAAAGCTCAGCTGCGAGCTGAACCGCCCATAAAAAAAAAGTATCTATGGCCCTGCCCTCAGGCTCGGGTAACGCATCTCTCCCTCACCCCCACTTTTTTTCCCTTTCTTTCTCTCCATTCTCTTCCTTTTTCTACAATTCTTGTTTCTTAATTAATATTTTTGATACACTTTTGAAAAATGAGTGCAGAGGATTTTCATTCAGTTGCCCCCTCCTGGTGAGGCTACTACCATTTCTCCCTCGCAGACCTTCCATCTCAGGGTCTGTCCATGGGTGATTCTCTACTTACAGAGTGGAAGTATTGATGTATTCGTTGTCACATCGCAGATTGTAACATGTTTGCAACTGTTGTGTTTCAATGTATTTTTGCCTTCCATAAATAGAGAATTGAAAAAAAAAAAAGAAAAAAGAACAGGCGTCAGGAGGTAGAGAAGTAGTGTCTCCTGAATGCCTCTCAGCCCATCCTATACTGCCCTCTGCACAGCAATCCACCACTGATCACTTTTCAATGGGCAGTAGGCTTACCACCTGTCTGAAAGAACCTGTAGTGAATAACAAAAAAAATAAACAAAAATTTGGGCAGACAACCTGAACTGCTGCCTCGTTGTCTTACTCTTACCACTTAACATGCTCCTAAAACTTGGAAGGGATGAGGTGGGAGTGATGGCACAAATGAAAACTAGAAAGGATTAAGAAGTCGTCTAAGCAGGGGTGGACTGACCATTTGGAAACTCGGGCACTGCCCGAGGGCCCCGGGTCAGTAGGGGGCCCCATAAGATGCCCCTGGTACCTTTTTCATAGGCTTTTTTGAGTTTGGGAAGAACACAGGGGCCCCATGATCCCCTATTGCCCGGGGGCCCCATGAGTTGTCAGTCCGCCCCTGCGTCTAAGAGACAGACAAATTACGTTTTTGGACGATTATCTCACATTTGTAGGAGGACTATGCCAGACACTCTCTGTCTTCAGGAAGAGTCAATCAAACCTTCCTGATCACTATTATCTCCTTATGAGGTAAGCAGTGTTGGCAGCATCTGTTAGCGCTGCTTGTCTCCTCCCCGGTACTCTTTATTGATTGCGAGATCATTCATAAGTCTAGATTGCCTCACAATACACAGAATGTAAAAATTAATTTTTATAAGTGGTAACTGAAATATACTACAGCTGTGGATGCCTCTGTAGATGTGCTGTGTGGACAATGAGTGGTACAGGCAAAGCAATCTGTAATATATGTAAACCCTCACCTTGTAAATCAACCCATTCAGTTTAAAATAGAAAGGAGAGGTAAAACATTGATGTATTCATATAAAAAAAAGCATTACAGATACCTTTTCCCCCTTGGTCACATACTCACTGTTCTCAGCTGCATAAGGAGCTCAGGGAGGAGAAACAGCAGCATACTGGTCCTCCCAGGGAATGTCTACAGGGGGGCGTGTCAGTAGAAGTATGATCATTGGAGGAGAGCAGACTGAGTTCCCAGCAGCAACATATAATGAACATGAAATATTAGGTTTACATATTATTTAAATGCAATCATTAAAATCTCATATATTTTTCAAAGTTTTAGTGTGATTTACAATATACATTTTTAGTAATTTTCAATATTTTTAAATCTGTAACTTTCATCATAGTAATACCTGGTGACCCTGCCATAAACATTTCTGTTTAGCCACTTCCTGTCGTTGGGTAACATTCAACTCTTTTCCCCGGTTGTGCTTTTGCAATGTCTCCCCGTCACATCAGCTTCTGATGAGGACAATAAGTGGCTGTTTCAACACACATTTTGCAACTATGGTCCTCTGTTGCCACCATCAGGAAACCTGCCTGAGATTTGCCGTGCAACCATCACTGAAGTGATGTCCTTCCATACTGAATAAGGCTTGGAATATTCCCATGATTTCATCTATATTATATACTGTATATATACCAGGGCTTGACAAACTTGCTTTAAATCTAGGAGCCAGCTAAAAAAGTTAGGAACCAGGTTTTTTTTTTTTTTAGCATATTGTGGGCTGTCAGCGACCAGGACTTCACGCGAAGATATTTGCCATGCAACAATCATGGCAAAGCTGCACCATGTTTTAGGCGCCATTGAGAATAATGGCAAACCTACATTTTGCCATCACAGCAATTCTGCTGCAATCCCAAAGAGCCCAGGTGTAAATGGAGCCGCCCTGGTGCACACATATGCGATTCTGGATTTGTCTTGAAACTCACAGATTCGCATGACAGGTTAAATGAAACGCGTTTTGGCATTGAAATAAATGGAGGCGTTTTTGCATTAAAGTCTATGGGAGGCGGTTTCCCATTGAAGTCTATGGGAGACGGTTTCCCATTAAAGTCTATGGGGCGCAATTTGCCCTTGAAGTCTATGGGGCGCAATTTCCTATTGAAGTCAGTGGGAAACAGTGTATGAACCCAGGAGCCAAGATGCAATTTCTAATCGCTGTGGGAACCTGGCACCTGGGATTTGTCGAGCCCTCATATATACTATATATAGTGTTGAACTTGGAGAGAAGGGCATAGCAGGAAGGTGACTGAAAGCTTCAGATCTGTAGTCTCCTCTCTGTAGATGACACACTGTCATATATAAAGCACTTAAAACACACTTGATAGATATGTAATGGGTCAACAGGAGGAGTTGACAAGCACAGTAATCAGCCATACCTGGACACAAGCTGCATGACAGTTATAGATTAAAGGAAAAGTTCACCTTTGGGAACACGTTACATGTTCCACCCGTTTATAGGGTGGCACATGTAACAAGTTCCCAATGCTGCAGCTGTGCCTGATAATACAGGGAGAAGTTTCCCCGTACTGTCAGATTTGAAAACCGCATGGCTCCGCCCACATGGCCGCAGCATTCATTCACGGACTTCTGTGAATGAATAAACTGAAAGTCCCGACAGTCTTAGCAGCTGTGGGCTTGTAGTGTTCAATGAACTACCACATCACTGTGGAGAGCCGTGGTAGTTAATTGAAGCTTCCTGTCAGTATATCTGCTTGCTCGTATATCCTGTACAGCAAGCAGATATTCTGACAGGTCTGCAGGAGACCTGCATGGCATCAGGGATCTACTGATCGCTGGTGCAATGCTTTCCAGGCTTCTTTGGACAAAAATAATAAATGCGCATTTTTTTACCCCCAAAAATATGTACATTTATTATTTTTGTCCAGAAGGTGAACGTATCCTTTAAATTATGTACTGTTAGGCTTTGTTCACACCAGCCCATTGTAAAATGTGTTTGTTATTATAGCACGTGGTAACACACCATGTACACATTGGTGCATTGCAATACCATTCATTTTCAACAGCACTCTAATGTACCTTTACAATGTACCTGCATTGCAGTGCACCGCCACACCTGGCAACACTCTATCAGGTGTTCCATTGCCATACATTACCAAAAATGCTGCATGTGCAATTTTCAGTCTGTTGTGGGTGTGTTAGAAGTCCATTTAAAGAATAAGTTCACCTTCGGGAACATGTTACATGTTCCAGCCCTCGAAATTTCCACTCGCCCACTCGCATTGGGCAAGTGGAAATAAGGTGGTGGCGAGCAGCGCCAAGACTAGGGGTGTGGGGGGGGGGGGGCGGCAGTGGGGGCTCTGACAAGCAGAGATCTCCTGTATGGCTTTCAATGAAGCAGCTGAAAACCACAGGCGGGAGAGGAGGAGATGCGGCTTCCAGCTGCTTCACTGAAAGCCAAACAGGAGATGAAGGGGGAGGTGAAGGAGGCGGTAATACATTTCGGAGCATGCTCAACAGGCTCCTTCTTCAGACCCAGAGCATGCTCCGAAATGTATTACCGCCCCCTTCACCTCCTACATCCGACTCTGCTCTCCTAGCTTCATTTTGATGCACAGGCACATCCTGGACTCTACTTCCTGATCCTACAGACAGAGTTTGCTGCTGGATGTCCCACCTGGGTCTAATTACCACACGATGAGTCTTTTTAACTATTTATCTTGTAAGTGCGATTTATCCATTGTTTACTAAATAAATTGTCAATACTGTGCCTTCCTCTCTTTCTAGGGATTGGGTGGGGCAACTGGTGGCAAGTAACTCTTAATTCCTGGCTAGTAGCTCAGGACTTGAAATTTTGAGCCCTGACATCCACCGATTTTTAGTGTGGAACATTTAACATGTCCCAGCTCCTGCAGCTGCTCGGGGATCCAAGCACCTGGTGTGACAGCAGTATGGGGAGAAGCTCTCCATACCAGCTGTCTCTTTTGAAAAGAGTGCAGCCATGCAGAGCTCCACCCACAAGGCCACGTTGATCATCCACAAAGTTGTGTGAATGAATGAACTACAAGTACCGACATCCTTTGTGGTTGTCGGCTTGTAGTTCTCATTGAACTACCACAGTGCGTGGAGTGCTGTGGCAGTTCATTGATTCTTCCTGTCAGTGTGAAACTGCCTTCCTGTACAATGTACAGGCAAACAGATTATACTGGCAGTCTGTAGGAGTTCTGCATGGCACCAGTGACCTGGTGATCGCTGGTACAATACTTTACAGGCTCCTAAAAACAATAGTAAATTCCTACAGAAAAATGTAGATTTATTTTATTTTTTTAAAGGTGAACTTATCCTTTAAAATGATTGCGCTGACTTAATGTTCGACATAGCATGCACAGGTTAAACGCACTACAATGGATTGACATGGTGTGAATGGGCCATAGTGAAAGTAGATAGCTGGGTCCTGGGATATTAGTAGGTTACTTTCTCTGCTCCTGACTCAAGTGTGGCTTTCACACACATGGCTCTGACTCTATGGAAACATAGCCAAAAGTGTTCTACCCACCCTTGCTTTTCACATGGGTTTCTCTCTTGTTGCCAAGTCTAACTGCCAAAGACCTACAGAACTGGGAACTCATTCAGCCCACTCATGAGCACTGCAGAACCACCTCAGCTGACCAGAGATGTTCTGCAACTCTGAGAGTTCTGTTTTCTCTGGAACTTCACATCAACAGCTTGGTCCCAGGTTCTTTCCATGGGAGCTCTAGACAATCACATCATAGAATTTATAGCACAGAAAACATCTCTGAGACCCAACTGTTATGACACATGCAAAGTTGATCTTTAGTCTGTAGACGCCTTATGATTTGAAGATAACTTGGAAAGAACACCAGATAGAGTGGAGTTCCAGCACAGTATTTATCATGTACCTGGTGGAAACTGAAGTGAAAAGGGGGTTTCTCTTGCACCTCTTGTCCAACATGCCAGATGTGTGGGTCAGATGACAGTAGTCCGCTGGGCAGAAACCAGACGCAGGCACACAACAGCAGCAAGCAGGATTCAGACGCATAGCCAGGACACATGCCGAAGGTTGGTAACAGCCAGGCATGTGTCAGAGACAGGGGCGGACTGACCATATGGAAACTCGGGCACTGCCTGAGGGCCCGGGGTCAGTAGGGGGCCCCATGAGATGCCCCTGGTACCTTTTTCATAGGCTTTTTTGAGTTTGGGCAAGGACACAGGAGCCCCATGATCCCTTATTGCCTGGGGGCCCCATGAGTTGTCAGTCCGCCCCTGGTCAGAGACAATGTCAGGATACAAAATGAGGTCATCAGAAGCTGGGCAGCGAGAACCATAAGGCAGAAATGATGTCAAGTCACAAATAGCTGGGCAGCAAAGTACCAAACCAGAACGCAGAGAGACAGGAGGATAAGATCCAGAGACCAGTTAGAGTGTAAGCCAGGTCATACATGGGAGGGCAGAAGCAGCAAGTCTGGTCACCCCGCAAGAGAGCAGGGCAGTGACCTCATGCTCTCCACCTCATCTAATCAGAGAAAGCTTTGCATTCTTTCAGAACATGCAAAGCATTGGTGCCCATGACGAGCAGACAATGTCCTGTGTTCACAG